ATTCTGTACTTTCAGCCAGGATCCATCTCACATCAGCAATGATATCCCTAGGCCACAGCTTCTTTTAAATCCTGCTTGAACTTCTGGCAATTCCTTATCTATGTACTGTTCTAATTATTTTTAAATTATTTTCAGCAGTATTTTGCTTGCACGTGATATTAATGATAACATTCAGTTAGATCACCATTCTTGAGAATGGGAACAAATCTGAATCTCTTCCAATCCATTGGCCAGACATCTGTTCTCCAAATTTTCTGACATGGATTAGCAAGTGCATCCAAGGTTGCATTTATTACTTCTTGACTTTATAACATTAGTTACATTTAATTAATGCAATTAATGTAATTAATTAATGACAACATCTAATCAACTCTTTATTGTATATTGCCTTTTTCTTCACCCAACTTATCTTTGCATTAGTTTTTATTACTTCGCTTTCCCTTCTCAACCTTGTAAACCATGCAAGAAATATTCTATCTGTATGTTAAACTTTTCTTTAGCTGTTTACAATAGGATTCTTATCACATAATTATTTCAAAATAGATGTTAAAATTGTTCTTCTTGATAATGAATTTGATGTCATTCTTTTCTACTTTTTCATTCATTGCATAGTAGACCATATGACTGTCCAATTCAAAATGGTCATTACTATCCCATTTCAACTCCTGCACTGCCATCCAAAAGGCAAGCAGTTTGAATCAACCAGCCGCTCTGTGGGAGAAGAACAGACAATCTCTTCCTGTGTGATTTACAGTCTCTGAAAATCTGCTAGAGGGTCAGTTACTGGTTGGTTCTGACTTGACAGTACACAACACGATAATGCCTATCTAGGAATTTGTATGCTTTCCATTTCATTTTTTACAACATCCAATTTTCCTAGGTATGTGTGTTGCTTCACTTACATTCTGATTCTTAGTGAATATTGGTAGCTATTTCTCCTCATTTTGAGTCCTGCCACATCAACGTATGGGTGTCCTGAACAGTTTGGTTTCATTAATGTCATTAAGGTGGACTCTATTTTAAGGAGAAAACTCTACTCCAGTTGTATTTTGAGTGCCTTCCAATATGAGAGGCTAAGTATCTGGGGCTGTATTAGACAATGTTCAGCTGCTATTATTGAGGTTTTCACTAGCTAATCATTTCAGAAGTGGATGACCAATCTTGCTTCCTACCCTGTCAAATCTGGAAGCTCCAATGAAGCTTGTCTGTTACAGGTGATCCTTCTTGTATTTGAAACACAAGTTCCTTAGCTTCCAGCATCCAGCATCACAAGAATAAGCAAGCCAACACTGTACAATAAATTGACAGATGATGGTTTAAGTTATTGCATTGTCTTTATCAAAGACTATATCCTACAATATGGATTAAATCTCAACATCAATAAAACAAAAATTATCATTACTGGAGCAGTAAACAACATCATGATAGGTGGAGAAAAGATTAAAGTAGTCAATTAATTAATTTTGTTTATATGCACAATTAATATTCATGGTAGCAGCAGTCAAGAAATCAAAAGACTTGTTCATTGGGCAAAGCTGCTATTAATGATCCCTTAAATTGCTAAAGAGCAAAGACGTTGGTTTAAATACCAAAGTACAGCTGATCCAAAACATAGTATTTTAATTGTTTTCTCTTCATGTGAAAGTTGTACAATAAAAAAGGAAGATCAAAGAATTACTTATGTCTTTGAATTGTACTGTTCATAAAAAATATCGGATATACGATGAACTTACAAAGAAACAGACTAATCTGTCTTGTAAGTAGCATAACTAGGATGTTTCTTAGAAGCAAGGCTGGTGAAATTTCATATCACATATTTTGTGAATGTTCTCAGGGCGCGTTATGTCCTTGGAAAAAGACATCACATTTGGGGAAGGTAGACGGTTACTAAAAGTGAGAAAGACGTTCAAGGAGATGGATTGGCACATGATTACAACAATGAGATTGAGATGATGGAGACAGGACAGAAGAGGGTAGGGCAAGGTTTCAATCTATTGTTAGGTTCCACACAGTGGAACCTAACAATAACAACAGCAATTGGTATTAACTAACTCAGGCTGTCAAGTTTGAACTCTCATAGCTGACTTTCCCTTAGGTTTCCTAGTCTGTAAATTGAATTGGAAGAACTTGCTTCTCTTTATTCCATTAAACTGCTGGTGGATTCGAACTGCCTGTGAGGTGGGGCCATTAGATCGCCACTGACAATGAACTACGTCCCCAGAGCAGCAGGCATTAGTAGTCTTGAAAAAGTTAACACATAAATTTCATCAAGCATAAGATTTTCTTGAATATTGATCTGCGTTATGCAGATGACACAACCCTGCTTGCTGAAACTGAAGAGGACCTAAAGCACCTGCAGCAGAGGGTCAAGGACTGCAGCCTCCAATATGGATTGAGGCTCAATGTCAAGAAGACAAAGATTCTCACCAGTGGACCAATTGGCAGTATCAGGATGGATGGTGAAGAGATTGAGATTGTACACAGCTTTAGTTTGCTTGGCTCCATAGTCAACAGTCTTGGCACCAGTAGCCAGGAAATTAAAAGGTGCATTGCCATGGGAAAGTCTGCTGTTAGGGACCTCTCCAAAGTACTGAAATGTAATGGTGTCTCTCTGGAGACTAAGGTGCATTTGATACAGGCCATGATCTTCGCAATCACTTGTTATGGATCAGCGAGTTGGACAATGACCAAGGAGGATAGAAGGAGAATTGGTGCCTTTGAGCAGTGGTGCTGGAGAAAAGTATTGAGAATACCATGGACTGCTAGGAAAACAAACAGATTTGTCCTGGAAAGGGTTAAACCAGGTGGCTCCTTGGAGGCAAGGATTCTGAGGCTCCGTCTAACATACTTTGGACATGTTGTGAGGAGAGACCGGTCCTTGGAAAAGGACATCATGCTTGGGAGGATGGAGGAACAGCGCAGGAGAGGAAGGCCCTCTATGAGGTGGATTGATTCAGTGACTGGGATAATTGGGATGGGAGTGTCAGAGACAGCGCAATTGGCACAGGACAGAGCAGAGTTTAGGGCTGTTGTACATAGGGTCGCTATGAGTCGCAAGCGACTCAACAGCACATAACAACAACAACAACAGCAACATTGATATTTAATGCCAAAGAATTTACCAGTATCTCTCAGGCAATTGTCAACAATTGGTGAACAATATTTAATCAAAGGAATTTTGTTTCAAGCAGCATGGGAACAAAAGTAGCCAGCTATACACAGTTGGTTTTTCAAATTATTTCTTTTTTAAAAATGCTTTTCATACCTTTGTCAATATTCTTTAATTAGTAAACTATATGTATGACTTATAATATATTCAGACTTAAATATATGTCCTAAAAAGGTTAAATAAAAAATTAAGTGCCTGCCCAAGTTCTTATTTCATGAATATACAGGTCAATGTTTACTAGTTAATGTCATTAGCAATTATCTAATCTCCAAGCTATGTAAAAGAAAACCAAAACAACCTAACATTTTTAACTACTGAGCTGTTGACTCAGCTAGTGACTGAAAATTTATTAGTCAAAGAAAGTTTATTATAACAGAGTGTCTTTGGGCTGGGTTATAAAAACAAATGAAGGGTTTTGGGCTTTTTTTGTCCCCTTTTTGCACCTTACATTCTTATAGAAACTAAAATTCTCACTGGAGATTAGAGGACCCAAATATTGTTCTAACTCTACTAGGAACTGTATATGGGACTTTGAGCAAGTATTTTGTGACACGGAATTTTAGGTTTCTTATCCATAAAATAAAGAGTTTATGCTACATGAACTTTTAAAAAAACAAAGCTTCAATAGTTATATTTGAATGTGAAATATAGATATTTTTAAAAGAAAATTTAAATTTTCCATTATGGTAGAAATATTTAATGCCTTATTTCTGATGTTATTTTACCTATATATTTTTTCTTTTACACTTTTAAACTTTTTAGCTCTGTATTGTCAAATGGTAAAATTGAAGAAACCAGTGATAAATGACTTCTATAACTCATCTCTCCGTAAGTTCCTACTCTGCTGCTGATATTTCCCCTCTAAAACTCTTTTGGCTTTATTTAGTGTTTGATATTCATTTTAATTACATATTTGAGCATGGATACATAGAACTACAATGTTGTGATAAAAAATTTGAAGTTAATTTAAAATTATAATTTTATAATTTTTATCATTTTTATAATATTTTTTCATTGAAAAGTGCAAATACAAAAGTTGGAAAAGAGTATCAACAAAGCTCAGACTGTCATTTTCTCAACTTTTATTACCATCAAGTCTGAATCTACTCACAATGAGTTTTTGGTGTAAATCACACTGGAGGAGACTGCCCGTCTTTCTCTAGTAGAACCACGAGTGGATTTAAACTACCAGAAAGATGCTTAGCACTTCAACTCTACAGACTATGCCACAAGAGTGATTTTTTCCCCCCTAAATATCCTCTAAGTCGGAATCGACTTGACAGCAGTTTTAACAGACGTTGCTGAAGAGTTAATTCTGACACATGATGAAACCATGAGATCAGAGTGGAATTGCACTCTTCAGAGGCTCTGGTGACATTGTCCACAGGCAGCTGAGCGGCTCATTCAAAGGGGGCACCTCTCTGGCAGTTTGAATCCACCAGCTCCTCTGCTGGAGAAAGACAGGCAAACTCCTCCCATGACACTTATTGCCTCCAAAACCCAATGGAGGGTCAGCTGGTTCTGACTTGACACAATGAGTCTGAGAGGTTTCACCAGGGCTTCCTTCCAAGGCACCTCTGGGGGACCTCCAGCATCTAACAAAGCTATGCTTTGCCTAGATTCTATCAGTGTTGATCCAGAGTGTTTTCCGAAGCTGTACATCAGATGGGAGGAGACTTTCCATCTTTTACTCTGGAGCAGCTGATGGATTTGACTGGATGCCTTTGGAGTTGTCAGTGAAACTCTCCATCCCCCAGGCCACCAGAGTTCCCATGCCCACAACAGCCTTCACCAAAAGATCCGTCTTCCAGATGCTCACACAGAGCCTTACCTGGCCAGGACGTTGCTGCCCACGAGCGTTAAGGATAACTTCCCTTCATCATTTAGCTGATGCAGGTTAATTTCATCTCGGAATATGTGGAATGACTCAGAGATATTTAGCTCTTCTAAAATAAACCTGGTCTCAGTGAAATAGTTGAATTCAGTTCTTGGGATGTTCAGCACAGGTAAACACAGAACCCCCGGCGGGCTGACCTACCAAGAAAAGAGTTGACTTAGTCACTGAAATCAGCAGAAGGAAAGAAGCAGCTACTTTTTTTTTTTTAATGACAAAAGATTACTGGTACAGCAAATTAAAGTCCCGTGTTCTCTCTAAACTTTTTGACAGTCATTGTCAACTTTTGCTAAACCTCAAGGGTAGAGCATTTCCCATTTGCAGGGAACCCTTAATAGTTTTAAACCTACATGAAATGTCTCATGCCTTAATTGAAAAAGTTTGTCTCGTTACAGTCTCTCTACAAATAAAAATTGTGATTTTTTTTTCTTCAGGTGCACGTATTTTTAGGGAATTGATAGGAAATGATGGAAGCAGGCCAGGTGGGAACAGTGGTAACACAGGAAAGTATATGTCCCATCTAAATGAGATGGCTATCACTGGACTCTGTAAATTGTCTCCATGAGAAGTGAGGGGAGGGCAGGGAGAAAAGTGCAACAATGAATGAATGAATGGAAATCCAAAGTCTCTGTAAATTTTCATTAAATTAGTTTAAAAAAAAAAAGTCTCCATGAAGAAATTCAGACCCCATCTAAAATCTCACATTTTAATTACTCAAGAGAGATCAGAGATTTAAATCTCAGAGTGTGATGTCATTGTTTCATTGTGACAGTGATTTTTTCCTTCATTTCAAAGACTACATAAACCTATGAAAATATATTAATTAATCTGATTCTTTTGCTTTTTCATAAGATTTTTAAAAGCCTTGTTGGTGGTCTAGCAGGAAGGGCAGAGAGTTCGAATGCACTGACAGCAATGAGTTGTCTTTTCTTTTTTTCTCCTCCTTTAGTAACAAGCCTCTACACCACTGAAAACTAAAAATTGAGGAAATAAGAGATGGGCACCTACCTTGTAGGTATTACCTATTACCTTTGAGTCAGAGCTCACTAATGGGAACCTCACAGACAACAGAACCGAGTTGCTTCACATGGTTTTCTTAGCTATAACCTGGTGACATAATGGGTAAGGAGTTGAGCTGCCAACCCAAAGGCAAGCCCACTAGCTACTTTGAAGGAGAAAGATGGGCAATCTCCTCCCATGAGATTTCCAGCCTCTGAAAACCTGTTGGAGTGTCAGCTATGAGTCGATTCTGATTTGGTAACAATGATGGGGGAAAAAAAGAATCTTTACAGAAGAAATTCACTAGGCCTTGCCTCCACAGTACCTCTGGTTGAGTCTGAACTGTCCATCTTTAGGTTAGTAGTCAAATGTAGATTTTTAGAAATGTAATTTTCCTCATGCCACCCAGGAATGTACAAAGTGTGTCAGAGTTAAAAAAATTTTAGATTCACAAAAATAAAGTCATTTTTCAATAGAAATGTTTTGAAACTATTTTGAACATGACTGAGTATAAGGCAATATGAGGAGTTCTACCGGCCTAGTAATAAGGAGTTGGGCTGTCAACTCAAAGTCATGCAGTTCGAATCCACCAAGTGCTCTGCAGGAAAAAAGATGGGCAATCTCCTCCAACAAGATTTACTGCCTCTAAAAACCTGCTAGAAGGTCAGCTTATGAGCAGATTCCCACTAGAAAGTACATAACAACAACAACAACAATGTATAATGATGTACACTAATGTCACTTAGAGAATACAGGATTTGTTAACAATGAATTTTTGCATACAGTAAATGACCTTCTTTCTCACACCATGTGCTTTTAGCAGCCTCCCCTCATTTGCATTAAGGAGGTGGAGCTTTTTTGTCCATTTAGTTTAGTTACATGTAACCAGTGTTAGCATAGGGGCTGCTGCGCTGGATGGGGCTTCGGTTGCTGATTTTTCAGAAGTACTATGCTAAATCTCTCTAGATGCTTGTGGATCAACTAAAACAATAACCTTTTGGTTAAAAGCCAAGTGTGCTGACCATTTGTACCATCCGAGGGTAGGTCAGTTACATTTCCTAGAGTGTAAAAGACTGTGGAATATCATGATAATTAATAAATATTTGTTAAATAAGTGAATGAATCATCCTCTTCTATAGTGTACAAAGCACAGCTTTTTCTTTTTTTCTTCCTCCAACTCTCATGCTAATCCTGAATCACAACTGCATGATTATCACTAGCAGTTTGAGTGGCAGACTATTTTTCCTAATTAATGAACCAAGTTGTGCCAAGAAATCTGGAGAACAACCTCTTGGCCAACTGACTGGAAGAGATCTATATTTGTTCCCATTCCAAAGAAAGGTGACCCAACAGAGTGTGGAAACTATAGAACAATCTCATTGATTTCACATGCAAGCAAGATTCTACTGAAGATTATCCAAAAACGACTGAAACAGCACATCAGCAGAGAACTGCCAGAAGTCCAGGCTGGGCTTAGAAGGGGTTGTGGTACTAGGGATATTGTAGCTGATGTTTAATGGATCTTAGCTGAAAGCAGGGAGTACCAGAAGAATGTCTATCTGTGTTTCATTGATTATGCAAAGGCGTTAGACTGTGTGGATCATAACAAACTGTGGCTGACTCTGAGAAATGGGAATTCCGGAACACTTGATCGTGCTAATGCGAAACCTATACTTGGACCAAGAGGCAGTTGTCAGATCAGAGCAAGGAAACTGCACTATTCAAAATTGGGAAGGGTGTATGACAGGAATGTGTCCTATCTCCATACCTTTTCAACCTGTATGCAGAACAGATTATCCGAGAGGCTGAGCTCTACGAGAAGAAGTGTGGCATCAGGATTGGTGGAAGACCTATCAACTATATGCATTATGTAGATGACACAACCCTGCTTGCTGAAACTGAGGAGGACTTGAAGTGCTTGCTGCAGAGGGTCAAGGACTGCAGCTTTCAGTATGGATTGAGGATCAATATCAAGAAGACAAAGATTCTCACCACTAGACCAATTGGCAGCATCAGGATGGATGGTGAAGAGATTGATACTGTTAACAACTTTAGTCTGCTTGCCTCCACAGTCAACACTCTTGGCACCAGCAGTCAGGAAATTAAAAGATGTATTGCAATGGGAAAGTCTGCTGTTAGTGACCTCTCCAAAGTACTGAAGAGCAATGGGGTCACTCTGGAGACTAAGGTGTGTCTGATACAGGCCATGGTCTTTACAATCACTGGTTATGCGTTTAAGAGTTGGACAATGACTAGGGAGGATAGAAGGAAAATTGGTGCCATGGACTGCTAAGAAAACAGATTCATCCTGGAAAGGGTTAAACCAGGCTGCTTCTTGGAGTCAAGGATTCTGAGGCTTCGTCTGACATACTTTGGACATGTTGTAAGGAGAGACCGGTCCTTGGAGAGGGTCATCATGCTTGGGAGTGTGGAGGGACAGCACAGAAGGGGAAGGCCCTCTATGAGGTGGACTGACTGATTCGGTGACTGGGGTAATAGGGATGGGTGTGTCGGAGGCAGTGTGATTGGCACAGGATGGAGCAGAGTTTAGGGCTGTTGTACACAGGGTCACAAGCAACTTGACAGCACATAACAACAACAACAATGGACAGTTACAGCTAACTTTTTACTGAACACTGACTATATACACCTAAATCAGGAGCAGGTGGCTTGAACCTCTCCTATGAAGATTTATATTGGCGTTGGAGCAGGAAGACCTGTATTCTAGTCCAGCTTCTGCTGTATGACTTTGAACAGGCCATTTTCCTCGCTGAGCCTCAGTTTTGCCAAGTGCAGAATGGAGCTTCCTTATGAAAATGAAAGGATTTCAGTGAAGTCCTATATGTGAAGCTGAAAAGCTCTACCTTCATGCTTTTACACTGTGCGAAAAGACACTTGAGGAATAGGGACTCCAGGGTCAATAAACTATGAACTAAAACAAAACTCACACTCACTGCCCTCAAATGGCAACTGACTCATAGCTGACGCTCAGTGGGGTTTCAGAGGCTGTAAATTGCACAAGAGGAGATAGCCTATCTTTCTCCCAAGGAGCCCATGGTGGATTCTCGTTACCAAGGAAGCACCACCTTTGAGTCAGCAGCACCTCTCCCTATGGACCATGCCACCACAGCTCCCAATAAACTATGAAGAAGACAGAAATAAAGCAAACTTCGTTACGTGACCCTTTGGTAATTGCCTATATTTCTCTGTGCTTAGTATGAAGCCTTAGAAGAGAAGCTACATATTTCTTCATTTTTATGATCCAGTTATCAAATCTTTTTTGGGGCTGGATGGTAACAAATGGGACACTCAGCTGTTAGCCAAAATGTTGGCAATGCTGCCTACCTATCAGTACCTCAGAAAAACCTCTACAGATCTACTTCCAAAAAACCCCCACCCATTGAACACACTGTCCGGAGCACAGTTCTGAGCACATGATTGGCTATTGTCATCCATTTTATCTATCACACCGACTTTCCTCACCTCTCTTGTTAGATGTCATCATATACATTTAAGACACTATTGTTATTGTTAGTAGCAGTGGTAGTAGCATATGATCTCCTTAAAGTTCATGTCATTATTAGTGTAAAAGTCAGTCTGGTTCCATTAACTGCATTCTCTAGTAACATTCATTTTTCTAGTGAATCTAAGAAAGTCAGTTAATAAGATCAATGTTTTATATGCATGTCTTGACATACACACATTTATCTCTTCATGCCAATTAATCTCCCTTGTAAAGTTCAACAAATTTGAAGATAAATTTGGTCTAAAACCCACATGTAGAGTTCAGAATATCATACCCGGCACTCTTGTCAGCTGCTCCCCTAAAGCATTGCCTGCCCCCCACAGCTTATTCTGGAAGACTGGTTTTCGTGTGAATTTAAATCGGTCTGGATCAGCTATGCCTACTGTCTGAGGCCAAGGATGCAAGCAGAACTGGAGCAAAACAAATGAGACTCCAGTAATTAAAAACTTGGATGAAACTGAAAATAGATCTCACTCACATAGTATCATCCTCTCTTTCTTTTGCGGTTTAAAGGAGAGGAGGTAATACCATGAGCTAATGACTTAATGGAATGAAAGTTTTAAGGTATTTTATTGAAAGATCTTTCTACCTATGAAAGCAGGCTATGAGGAGTTCTTGTGGTTCACTGGTTAAGGGGTTGGCTGCTTACTGAAAGTTTTAGAGTTTAAACTCACTTCAGGGCAACACAATAAGCGTGCCATAGATTACACAGGGTAGAGAGATTGTTGCTCAAGGGAAAGTCCTAAGTACATACAACCTTGCTGTACAGTTTTGTCTAATCGGCAAGTAAAAAGAAAAGCTTATAGAACACAAATTTGACATTAACAGCTCTCTTACCTAAACATCCAATCACATGCACTCTTTCCTTCATGTTACATTCATGCAGTTAATCCTGCAAATATTTTTCTGCTCCAAGGACTAGACCATGCAAGAAGAATAATAAAGGAAAACAAAAACTCTGACTCTTACTTTTATTAGCTCTCTTAATTTCCACACAAATTTTATGTAAATGAAATTCTTTTTTTTTACAATATTGATCATAGAGAAATAATTTTTTGAAGATAGTTATTAAGAAATAACTAGAATTTTGTATGAAGACAGTCATTAAGGAACTGCATCTAGTAAGTGCACAATAAATATTTGTTGATTAATGGATTGTAATATTTCATTTCCTAAAACATGATAAATAAATGAAAACATGAATAATTATGATGCTAGGTTCTTTCTCCTTTTCTAAAAAATGTTTGTTCTTAAAAATTACATAATAGTTCAAATATTAAAAATATAATGTTTTTACTCTCACCTTCTCTAGAAAGTAAGCATAGGTGAAGGTAGAAATGAGAGAATCCAAATCACACGACTTACATCCAATCACCACGTGGACTTTTCCCAAGCGTTTGCTTCTATTCTAAAAAAAAAAAAAAATTATATTAAACATCACAGTTTAGCCTGTGATGGAAACACTTAAATCTTTCTTTATCGTAAGCCTTAGTTCTGTTTATATACAATGCAAGAAAGTCATAAACCTGTCATGAACTTTTACGTCAGAACATAAATTTAGTATTTAGAAATGCCATACAAACTATAGTTTAAAAAATACACTATAGTTCTTTAGTTTTAAAAAATCTGTCATGAAAGAAAATATCACTTCTTTAAGATTATCTACAACTTAACTTCATGTGAACGATATTACAGAATTATACATTTTTATTAAAAGATTAATTTTTCTCTAAGGAACAGTTGCCTAGTTTTCTATGTAATTCTCTTGTAAGTCAAACACTTCTTTGTGAAACAGACAAGGTGACTTTGATCCTATGTCCCTGGGATGCAATGTAGACACACAGACATGCTACTTGGCAAGAATTTCTTTTTCACAAAAGGTAAGAGAATATGTTCTCTTTGCATTATATTCTACAACTTAGCAAATAAAACTTGTAAAATTTTTACAACAATCCCAGAGGAAGATACAGGATTAGTCTCATTGCTCTAAAAATACAGGCTAGTTACTCTTTAAAAGTCACCTCAATTAAAGAGAAGAAATTATTTTTCCTCTGATTGATTCGAGAATTATTTTAAACTTTTTTATTACATTTTTTGGTTGTGATTTGAGTGAAAACTTGCAAAGCATATTAGTTTCACTGAAAATTTATATTATTTCTTTTTTAAAATGGTCAGTTGGAGATTTGAAAGAGCTAATAGCGTCAAGAACAGGCTTAGAGCAAAATTTCACAGTACGGATAATTATAGCATAAATTTACATCTTCATAGTAATGCCTGAGATGACACACATGAATGTCTCCTTTTCATCTCTTTTTTCCATTTCTATTTTTAGAACCAACTGGATAGTTTTCTTTTCATTCTCGTCTAAAGACTCTGAAAAAAGTTAGACTATTCATGCCTGTTTCTACAAAAGCAGTTTAGTTGCAAGAAGGGAAAGGCAATACACAATAAGGGTTGAATGCAACTAATTTAATTATGCTACAAAATGTCATAGAATTATTGAATGAAAAATCAATTTAAAATATGTATGAATTACTGAATGGGGAAAAATCAATATGATTTCTCCACTTTCACTCAAATCACAAAAAGGAGAAAACATAACTTCTAGAAAAAATGGAAAAGTAAAAACTGAAACACTTTAAAACATAAAGCAACTTAATTTTTTATTTTTTCTGTTAAACACCAAAATAAAGCATTATTCAGTAGACTAAAGATATTTTTTAAAATATATCTGTACATTCATAAGTGTTTGTATGGAACTGTGGTATCCAAATAATAAACAATCTCTAACAACCAGATTATGGTCCAAGGAGGGTGACACATAAAGATTTAAAAGGGCGAGGTTAAAAAAAATCCATCATTTACAGACAAAGACTGCAGGGCCAGTGTTGCAGGTGCATCATTCAGTATGTAATATTGATTGTTGTTGTTTTTAGGCTACTTTGAGTCGAGTATGACTCATAGCAACCCTGTGAACAAAAGATCTGAACCCTGTTCTATCCTGCACCATCCTCACACTTCCCGACACACAGGAGCCCATTACAGCAGTCATCGTGTCAATCCACCTGGTTGAGGGTCTTCCTCTCCTTCACTGACCCTCCACCTTTCCCAGGATCATGTTCTTCTCCAAGGAATAACCCCTCCTAGCAACATTCCCAAAGTATGTGGGGCAAAGTCTCATCATTCCTGCCTCCAAAGAAACACTCTGGCTGCACCACCTCCAAAACTTATCTATTTTTTCTCTTGGCTGTCCATGGAATGTTCAGTGATCTTCTCCAGCATCCCAGACAAAATGTATCAATTCTTTTTCTCTCATCCTTATTCATTGTCCAGCTCTCCAAAGCATAGCAAGTAATCAGAAAGATTACTGTAATATTGATAAATTTAGTCAAATAAACTTATTTTTAAAGGATTGTGGATATATTTATCTTTAGTAAATAGTAATATTTAAAACTATCATAAAAATTCCCTGGAAATAGCTATCACATTCTTCCTCATCCTCCCACCACCCCAAATCTAGCTCCTATTTCCATACCGCCCCTCACCTCCTTCCCTCACCTCATAAATCGATAGCTGGCTCACCTGGCTGAGCCTCTTTGGACAGTTCTAGTCTAAGCGGAGCTTAGCTCTCAAAGTTCCCTGTGGAGGGTAGTTAAAATTCCTAATGGAATTATGTGCAATTACAACATAAATAAATTTATTAGGGAATTGCATTACTGCAGCAGTGTGCCCTTCTTCCGAGAAACTCAAAAGTCTAATAAGACATTACCTCATTTCTCCCCCTAAGTCCTGTAAGGCAGACAGTAAGGAGGTGAGTAATATTTTTCATGGGTCAAAGGCATCTGTAGAGGCCAGGAGTATTCCCAGAGCCCATGACCCACCGTGCATCCTGTCCTGTCTTCCTTGCCCTCCACACACCACCCCATCGTGCCCTAAAGACTTCAGTGCCCACACCACGACAAACATGGGATCAGAGGGAGAAGAGAGAACGCTGAACGTTCTGAACACAAACAGGCTCCAGACATTTGCAGCATCAAAACTACCCCAAAGCTGACCTATTCACCTGCCTGTCAGGTTCAAGAATTCCTAGTCACAATTCGACTCAACTTTCAACTCACATTGAAGTAGATGTCAGAGATTCCTGTGTTGATTCATTTCCCAGCCCATATCCAACCCTACTTGGAAAAAGAATCAGACAAAATAAGGATTGTTGTTGTTGCTGTGTACCATGGCGTCAGAATCAACCCATAGCTGACCCTCCAGCACGTTTTTAGAGGCAGTTAATCACAGGGGAGGAAATTGCCCATCTTTCTCCCATAGAGCGGCTGGTGACCTCAAACAGAGCCTTCAGGATTGCAGCACAGCTTCTTGCCACTAGGCCACCACAGCTCCCTAAATAAGGATCATGAATCAAAAATATGATAGATCAATTCTAGCAATGCAGCAACCTGCTAATATTACGATCTATTTCTCCATTTAAAGAAACCACAATGATACTGATCTTTCACAGCACATTCATAGCCCTCCCGATCTCCACACGTTCCCCGAACTTAGAGGTTCAATTCTAAACTCTATGTCCTTGATAGTTCTTGGGTGTTATAAAGCATTAAACTGTTTGGATGTTCCAGAGAACTCAGAAGTGCTTCAGAACGAAGGCCTGGCCATTGATTTCTGAGAAATAAGCTAGTGACAGCCTAAGGAGCACTGTTCTACTCCAACCCACATGGGGCCACCATAGGCAGAGCTGATTCAGGCTGTTGGTTCTAAATACGGTTCAAACTGGAGTCTCCTTCACAAATAGATCATTCTCTAATAAATATGGAACATGTAATTTTATTAATTATATTATTTTCATCCAATCTATACTTACTTAAAGTACCAAGCACTTTTCTAAGTCATAGAGGATCAGTAGTGAATCAAGCAGACAAAATACTCAGCCCTCCTGCACTCATATTTTAGTGCAAAGTGGCACAGTGAATAAATACATTAGTCCATCAAAGGAGAAAATGACATGAGGTGAGGCTCCCTGATATGATAACATTTGAGTAAAGACTTCAAGGGGCAGAGGGTGACCAAAGGTTAACTCAGGACAAGGGAACAGCAAGTGCAAAAGCCTTGAGGGAAGAGCATGCCTGGTATATTTGTAACTATTGCCTATTGTGTATATTGTGACTTTGAAAACTGCTAACCAGGAGTGGACAGATATGGTAAGTAAATATCCATTCCCTAGTAAGCATCTGAAAGTTGGCCAAGAAATAAGAATTACAGAAGAGGAATCAATGCTATTGAACTGTGGTGTTGGCAAAAAGTATTGAATATACCCTGGACTTCTGAAAAGACAAACCAATCTGTCTTGGTAGAAGTGTAACTGGGGTGCTCCTTAGAGGCAAGGATGGCAAACATTGTCTCCCATACTTTGGGCATGCTGTCAGAAGGGACTAATTCTTGGAAAATGACATTATGCTGTGAATGGTGAAGAGTCAGAGAGAGCGAGGAAGACATTCAAAAAGATAAATTGACATAGTGACTGCACAATTGGGCTTGAGTGTGTTGGAAATCATGAAGATGGTGGAGGCTAGTGCAAGATTCAAATCTGTAGGGTCACTGTGAGTTGACTTGACTCATTGGCACCTAAAAAAAGTATCGACTCAGTGCATTGAGGAATCATGGGAGATGGACTGAAAAAGCAAATGCTTAGACTCACTTCTGCCTAAGCCCAGCACAAATGGAATATTGATAACGGGTTGAAATAGCAACCGTATTGCTTTGTCATCTACATTGACTTCCATACAGCAGGATAGAATCTTTCCATAATGAATGCACAAGAGGAAATATGTGGGACATATTTAGGATGCAAGCCAGCATCCCAAAGCAGAGTTTTAATATGCTTTCAGAGTGTAATCCTATACACTGCTAAAATAAGACTTCTTAATGAAGTTTACTTCCTACCTCTTTCTAAAAGCCACCAAAGTACCTTGGCTTTCAGACTCAATTTCCCATTAAAGGAGACTTCACTGACGAGGCAAGTAAACTTTTAAACACATCCACAGACAAGAGAAGAACTGATGAGAAAGTGGCCTTCCAGGGCCCTGGGCAGAGCTCAGTGAAAAGGGGTTGTCTGAGTGAGACCTAAGCAAAGGTCTCATTGTTCACTTTTTCTCCTAACTCCCTCCCTCTTCTCAGAAACAAAAGCTGCTCCTGTCTGAAAACTTCCACCTTTAAAGTCCCATATAAACCTTTTGGTCAGAGAACTCTTATGACGTTGTTATTTTCTTACATCTTAATACTCACCCTCTCTAAACACCTTTTGTTAAAATTTCTACAAAAGGATTTTCTGCCAAATTAATTAACTGAAATAATTTTATTTTAAAAATATTGCAGACAAAACTCGCACAAATTGGAGAATCT